TTCTAGTTCCACTTGGCTGATTTTTTTTTTTAAATTTGTAATTATTCAGAGGGCTTTCTAACAAACTGACTGTCAGCCCAGCTCTGTGACTGCAGGAGGAGGGCATGAGTCCAGCCTTGCCCCCCATCCATGATCCCATGTCTCTTCCAGTGAGTGAGCTGGTTGTAGCCACATACCAAGACACCAGCCTAACTTTCTGTAGCATTAAATCAGATTGGTACCTAGGTGCTTGCAGAGGATTATGACATAACACCCCCATGTTACCTCTTTCATGTGAAGTGGGTAGAAGACCCACCCCCTGCAAAAAACATCAGGACTGAGGTGTTCTAATGGGAACACCTCCTTAGGCTTTCTCACCCAAAAGCTGAACTTGACAAAAGAAATACAAATGTCTACTGGACTCCATTTGAAATTAGTATCTGCATTTAATTCCCAAAGGAGAATCCTTACTGACACTCCTGAAAACACAATTAAAAGCAAAATTAATTGCCTGAAAGTTCACTTGGTGCCTTGCATTGCCAGAACGACAGTCAGATGCACCTCAAACCTCACAGCATCTGACACCAGGACCTTCTATCCCATCAACAAGCTTCCCACACCTCTGCAGGGACATTGATCACTACTGCTTCCACAAAAATGCGTAACAAGAAAAGATATTCAGCTGGCTGTACAGCTGGAAGCCTAGAGGAGAGCATGTCCACTGACAAACAGACTTGCACAGACCACACATTGGCACTTCATGCAGATGGAACACTGGAGTCCTATAGATACGTACATCTATAAGATGCTTGACTTCATGTTTTCTGAGGTCACTGCCAATTTTGGCTGCTAAAAGAACACAAGCTCCAGCACAAAGCTTTCTATTCTGCTTGTTCAGCTTCCCCTTGAGAGCGAGCTTCTCAAAGTAGACAAAGGCCATGGCCACTGTGGGCTCTTCAAAACCACATTCCTCTTGAGCAAGCTTGCGCATTTCTCTCTTCAGGCTGAGTAAAGAGACCAGACAAATATGCCGTGAGGTGAATTTTAAAGCATTTCTCCTTTCACCCTAAGAGCCACGCTTTCAGAGATTCCTCCTGAGTCAAATGGCAGGGAAAACATAATTTGCTGGGCAGATACCCTTATTCTGTTTTGGGGGCACATTTCATGGCAAATTTTCACATCACCCCCACTGCCCCCAAAAGACAGTTGTGTCGAACTATAAAAGCAACCAAAAAAGCTCTGACATTTTTAGCAACAATATTTTATCAGAGGTCCTACACTGCATACATTTGTTTAGCGTATATATATTTATGTCATAATACCATTTTCATTACTGGTGCTCTGTATGCTGCTTTTGCTGCAGGATATGGTCGGTCAAATCCAAACTGACAGTTCTGTCCATCTACTGCAGCACTGCCTGGTTACTGAGCAGTGTGGCTCAGTGTCCTTCTGGCCACTAGGGTCAAATGAAATTATCATTACTTCAGTGAAGCAGTATGTCTAGCCTGCTACACCAGAAACAGAGATGGAATATTACAACTCTGCTGTGAAGCCAACTACTCTTTTTGCTTCTGGCCAAAGCACAAAAGTCAGCACTTCTCTTTCCTCAGTCTCTTTTTAAGCCAAGTGCCATGAGCTTAGAGACTCCTGTGTTATTTTTCTGAGTATTTTAATATAGTGCATGCCCAGCTCTCATCCTCATCCTGTTAGATGCTGTGTTTGACACCTGACCAGTGCATGTTTGCACATTCCTCTATCCTGTTTACTCATCCCAGTAATCAAAGCAATCATCTGACTTACTCTGCACCTCTGCTGGTCACTGCTCCTGGGAGATCAATCAGAGCTGTGCTTCCTCTCATGTACAGCAGGAATTGCACTGACATGTGAGACAGCTGCATCACGTTGCAGCCTTACTGAGCTTTGCAACATACCTTCTTATTTTACTGAGGGTTAGCTTGATGTGAGGGAACTTCTCCTTAAAAGTCTCATTCATGTCCTTCTTGAGATCTGATGGCTTCACGTAGTCTATGACCGTGGTCTGTAACACACGTCAAGAGAAAATTACTTTTAGTTTGTAACAAAGAAGATCACTCGATTCCCAGAAACAGGAAATCCCAAACAAGTGCCAGTCAGTCCCAATGCTTTCAACAGACAGGAAAATGAAGTCTGAACCAAGGCAACTATTTATTTGTGGCTGACAAAACAAGTAACCTGTTCAAGCCTTGAACAATACATACCTCATTAGCTTCCTCCATGTATTGCTAAGGGTGAGTTTAAGATAAATGTGTGTGGATGAAACCCACCTGAGAAGTCTTGTAAGATAAAAAAAATCATCACAATAACTGATATGATGACTAGATTCTGGTGCATACCTCTATGTGGTTCTGAGATCCATTCTGAGTTTCTCTCAAATTGATTCTTTAAAGAAACCATTTTTAAACAAATTTTGACTGTTGTAGCATACATTTATGATAAAGTGAGTAATCAGCTTGTATGGCAGGTCACTCAGCAGAGTGGAAGGCAGCAGTGCTGCGGTAAGTTAGGCAGCAAATGGACAAAAGAGTAAGGACAACATTCAAAGTGTACAGCTGTCTGTCTCCTCTGGGCTTCCTATTCCAGCCTAAGGAATCTCCTCAATTTGCAGAGTTCTCCCGGCCAACACAGCACCTGCAT